ACAACCCTATAGGCAACCACACAGACAACCCTATAGGCACCACACAGACACACACAACCCTATAGGCACCACACACACACACACACACACACACACACACACACACACACACACACACACACACACACACACACACACACACACACACACACACACACACACACCTTGTATTGAAGTATATACAGCAAGTTTTTTTCATAGCTAATAAAAGAAAAAAACAACCAATAAGTTATTAATTGTCATGTTTCAACGGGACTTGAATATACTCATAGCAGTGTTTTGTCAGAAGGGTCTGTAAGTCTCCAGTGATCTGGAGCTTTTGGCTATACATTGGTCATTTTAGGCGACATCCACCCGTTGCTGCTAATAAAGTATATACTGAAATAATGATGTGGTTCTGTAAAAAGGAGGGCAACAACATATTCCTTTAGAAACTCTAACTGTGCAGAGATCCTCTCCAGATGGCAACACTGTTTTCTGTGAATTAAAATCCAACACAAGTTGTTATTTCTCATGTTTCAATGTGACTTTTATCTAGTTGTCAGAAATGTGTTTGTAGCTTTACATTTCTCATTTTAGGTGAGATTCACACAACGCTCTCAATTAAGTATACACAGTAATAATAGTTTTTGTCAAAGCTTAAAAGCAAATTACACACACTCAACATTCTGTGTGAGTCTTTTGGCTGCAGGCCCGTAAAAGGAGGGTAACAACATATATTTCTTGCTGTCTAAGAGTCCCTCCAGATGGGATCTTATACACTGTTTTTGTAAATTACAAACAACAAGTTCTTATTTGTTATGATTTAATGGGACTTTTATCTAGTTTTCGTCTGGTGTGTGTAAATGCACCAGGCGATGTTTCGCTTGACATTGGTCATTTTAGGTGACATACACACAATGCTGTTAATAAAGTAGATACAGTAATAATAGGGTTTTTTCCCCCCTCAAATGCAAATTACACACATTCAATATTCTGTGTGCAGTGGCAGCAGGCCTGTAAATAGGAGGGCAACAACATCTCTCTCAAAGTAAACTCTCCACTTCTGCAGAGATCCTCTCCATACGGAAACACTGTTTTTGTAAATTAAATCCCAACAAGTTCTCATGTTTCAATGCGTCTTCAGTTTGTCAGAAGTGTGTGTAAATGCCTGCAGCGATGTTGAGCTTTTGGCTTTGTATTTGTCAGTTTGGGGGAAGTTGCAGCAGTTTGGGAGTGTTAGCGTTAGAGCAGATGGACGAGAGACAGCCTGGCGGTGGGAGGAAGCTTCATCTCGCTCTCACTGTTTCATCTCTTCTTTTCTCAATCTGTTGCTGCGTGTCTCCCTCTCTATCTCTCTCTGAGCAGGGGAGGAGTTTTCTCCACAGGGAGGCAGAAGGCGCTGCAGCACAACCCTCCGCCAACGCTAGACACTTCTCCGACTGGCTGTGGCACAACCACACCTCGATTATTTTTCTAGGACTTTAAGTTGATATCTTGACTCTGAATAGTGAATAGAGAGTCTGTTGAATCCCACAAAAAGAAAATATGTCGTTCATATGGTGCTCTATCGGATACATTCTTGTCGGAGTTACGCATTTCTACTTTGTTTAATAGATTACATTTAGATCAATATTGTTATGACTGACCAAACGGCATCAATTCATTTGTTGGTCATGTGATCACATTGTGTGTATGGCACTTGTGATGTTTTGTCATGTTTCTACACCTGAAAGAAAGGTAGGTAAAAAACGCTTTAAAATTGAAATAAAAATATGTTAGAACAGCAAACCTTAAGGATGTGGATGTGAAATACATCTCGTACTATAAAGTCTCTTGCAGGAAAAAAAAAAAAGTATAACCTCTTGAGATTTGAACGTATTTAGATCCAGATTAAAGTCTCCGTGTTAATTTTAAAGCTAAGGCAAAAAATGATAATCATCAAAGGTCTGAAATCTTAAACAGCGATCACTGTCCAAATAAAACTCTTCTGAAGTTTTTGAGATATCCCGCCCGCTGACAGATCCTGAAATGATGTTTGTATTAATTAAAACGATCTATATCTTGCACTGCTGCTTCAAATGTGTGGTCAGACTCATACGGATACTTTTAAAATAATCATGTTGTCTGGAAAAGCGTGTGTCATTCAAGGACATTAGGGTAAAATAAATGCAGGTGATTTGTTATACTTCTCCATATACTGTATTAAACTCTGTGGGAAACTTTACAAGTGTAAAAGATTATTTTACAACAACAGATTATATTCTCACATTTAATTGATATTGTTGAACTTGTTGGCAATTTAGAGTAAATGTAAGTAAATATACAGCTTTGTGATAAAAGAGCTCTGTTAATCATTCCAACAACTCAACACTGTTTCATTTAAAGCATCTTCTCTGTAGCAGTATCACAGTAAATAAAGCTACATCTAAAAGCACCGTTATATTCAGGGGTGCACACAGAGGGAGGTTGCGCTAGACTTTTTCGCTGCCCGTCATTTTGACGGACAGGATCGTAAAATTTCCGTCAAAATCCATTATTACCCGTCGGTCTGTACACAACTGGGGGGGGGGAAGAGCACGCTCGTGAACTGTCAA